AATTCATTAAATACTTTTCGATTTAATGAAAATATAAGTTTATTTGATTATATTACACCTTCACTCTATTAAATCATTTGGAATAAGTAGCAATAAAAAAATAAAGTAGAGTTAAGAAAATAATATATTTTTATTTTTTAAAGTGACAAATAATTTAGAATAAATTATAAATTTTTAAATACAATTAGATACATAAAATGTGCCTATCACAGTAGAAATCAAGTTAAATTCAACACCATATTATTTAAACATGGTCCTATCACTTAATTTGTGCAGGTCAACAAATTAGACAGGATTAATTATCAAACTTCAAGACCCGATACGTCAAATACTTTGACGGGATTAATTTAATTTCATTAGTTGCGTTGGTTTGTCTGACGGGAGTGGTTGACATGGAGTGAGAGTGTCATCAATGTCTCTGACGGGACTGGGTGCCGTTAACTTTTCTTACGGAACTGCTTGCACAATTCAAAGTGGATCAGTAGTCCCGTAACAATACATGATGAGACTGATTTCGTCATTCCTTTTGACATGTTTGACTATAGTCCGGTAAAACTTATCAAATGTAATTTTAATTGAAAATCTTCCACAAAAAATTCATACAACGGTGCTTTTGCCTGCTAAATATGCTTCATAAAATGCAGTGCAAGGTTTGCATATTTGCTATTGAAGCCTTCTTGGGGTGATGGGGATTACACAAGCAAAGGGACTCTAATTTTAGAAGTAATAGATGATGAAATTGAAGAAGGTGATAAAGAAAAGTTTGAGAGCAACAACGGGGAAGATCATGAACATGATGACGAAGGGATAGAAGATAAGCATCATATAGTTTGTGCTGTTGAAAGCTTTTATCCTCAGAGAGGTGGCAAAGTTCTTTCTCAAACTTGCACTCTGATGAAAAGGATAAAGAGAGGGATGAGAAGGAAGATAGAAAACTTGAATTTGCATTTTGAGAATCATGTAGCTTGTGAAACTCATGCATTAGAGAGGGAGCAAAAGATTGAAAGTTTTGCTACTGAGTCACCTATTAGAGCACAATCAAGTATATTTGAAGTGCCAGCATTATTCACAATGGATATGAATGCAGCTATAAAACAAACTTGAGAGAATTTCAAAGCTTGGATACAAACATGACAGGCTTGGAGAATTCTATAGGTTTGGAAGTTGAAGATTTAAAACTGTAGTTGAGTCACTTCCAGGGAGGATTACTACTTAAGAAGCTCATACTTTACCAAATGATGGCAACAATGTTGAATCTTCCTCAGAACCTCGGATAATACAAAAGGAACAGGACATGTTTTTTTAGAATTTCTTAACCATCATCTATTTAACTTGGGTTGTTCACGTTTCATGTTTCTATTTATTGAAGTCACCGAATGAAAACATAATGGGTTAGTACGATTATTTGAGTGATCCTGTTGCATATATTTTGACTATAAAATCTCACAAGTTTTTGGTCATGCAGCATATCTACCTCAATCTCAAGATCCAGCCTGCTCATATGAATGCACACAAGAAGATGAATATTCAACAAGTGATGATAATGCTGAAGTTCAAAATGCTTTTGATGAATTCATTGCTCAGAATAATCTTTGTGAGTCTTAAGCTTTATCCAATGGAGGTAGCAATGCAGTAGCAGCTATAGAAGAAGCAGATAATAGACAAGGTGTGTTAAGAATTAAAAGAACTTTACACACTCCCTTTGCAATTGTGTTGTTCGTGTTAGTAAAAGTAATAGTGATTAGTGGTGTGACCTGGTGTGACTTTATGTGGTCCACCTATATTGTTCTCTACTGATAATGGAGAACCGTATATGGTCTATTAATGTTGTCCACTTATTGTAGTGGTTAACCTACTTTTGTATTTGGTCTGCAATCATCTGAAATCATCAACTAAGTTTTGTTTTTGGTCTGCCATCAATTGACCCCATCTTCAGTGCACACTTGAACAGACTCTATGATGGAGGAGTCTATAAAAGGGTGCATCTTCAGCTTCATGAGTCCCTGAGCTCACTCTACTATAGAGCTGCACACCATCTGGGCTGCAGAGAAGAGTTTGGAAGACTCAATAGAAAATTTTCATATCAGTTGCAAAAACTATTCAAAACAAAAGGAAAGCAATGGTGGGAGGTATTTATGATCTATCATATTCTGCATTTGAGTATAAGTTAGAACTTACACTTCGATGTTTCCTAGTAACTAGTTCATCAATTGAAATTAGCATATGTAGATGTAATACGTTTGCATACATTACATGAGATATCATTTTTAATATATTTAAAATATCAACAATTTTAAGAAGTTTTTTCTCCCCAGCCAATAAGCCTCCATTTCATGAACCAGACTGCTCTTGTCAATGCATACAAGAAGATCAATCTTCAACCAATGATGATGATACTGAAGTTCCCAATGCCTTTAATGTGTTCATTGCTCAGGACAACATATGAAGGTTTTACATATCATACATTATTTTTTTTCTTTTCATTTTGTTTCATCTCATGAAACTCCAACTTCTGTTCCTTACCTTAATAGGAAATTGATGCTCTTTGAGGATGGAAGTGTTGCAAGTGAGGCAGAATGTGGTGATCCAGTTTTAACAATTAAACGGCTAAAATCATCTTAAAAATCTGAAAGAATCTTTAAGTGTTTTATATCAGGAACTAGAAGAAGAGAGAAGTGCCTCTGCAATAGCTGCTAACCAGACAATGACAATGATTACCAGGCGGCAGGAAGAAAAAGCAGCAATGCAAATGGAAGCATTGCAGTGCCAAAGAATGATGGAAGAGCAATCAGAGTATGATCCGGAAGCTTTGCAGATTTTGAATGATTTAATGATGAAAAGAGAGAAAGAGAAGCAAGAACTTGAAATGGAATTGGAAGAGCACAGGAAAAAGATACTGGACTATGAAGGAAAAGAGAAATTGAGGGTGTTGAGAAGAAAAGATGGAATTGTAAGAAGTAGAGACTCCTCTTCATCTTGCAGCAACATGGATGAGCTAACCATTGATCTTAATTAACTATGAAGCAAAGGATGAAGACAATGGCATCTTCAACCATGAGGAAAGCAGCCACAACAATTTAAGTGCTGATACAGTTTCAAATTTGGAGGAGATGGCAATAGACTGTGCAAAGTATATAAGTGTTGTTGATAATTCATTGGCAGAATTTGAGGAAGAGAAGGTGTCCATTCTAGATGAGTTCAAAGCATTGAGGGAAAAACTTATCGCAGTGGTGATATAATGAGCAATTCCTTGATGAATTTAACTTGATTGAGCTTTCATCAAGACCAGGTGACAAAGACTTGATATGCAAAACTCATTTCCTACACTTGAAATGGATAGTATGAAGGTGTCCTTTGAAGAGGAGGTTGATCATGTTTATGAGAGGTTACAAGCTCTTAAAACAGATAGGGAGTTTCTAAAGCACTGTAAGGGATCCACACAGAATGGAGACAAAGGAATGGATCTTCTTCAAGAAATCTTGCAACATCTTTGTGCGAGCTCCTCAAAAATTTATCCCCTGCTCCTTTTATCTGTTTTGCATAACTACTAAATTTTAGCCTTTACCTATGCCAACAAATTCTAAAAAGTTTGAAAATTATCTAGTGCCAAGGCACTAGCTAACCCCAATGTGGCTTTGTCACTGAAGAGTGAAGTATAAAAAAGAGCTTTATCCTTCAATGAAGTGATAAGTTAGGCCTTCTACATGGATCCAATATGACATCTAACACAAAGCACTTTGTTTTAGATTGTCTTAGAGATGAGTTCATCACATTTGGAGTTTCATTTAAGACTTATTATGGCAACCAATTCTCGTGATGTAGAGCTCATATTTTTTTATTTTTTTTGTGTGTGTACATATAGAGCCCATATTTAGTTGGGTTTATGTGTGATTAAAAGAATTTTGTTAATAGGTGAGCCAATGTTATTAAACTGATTATCAATTCGGTTGAGATACTAAGTTGACAAGTCATTGGCTCAATCTATGAATCACTTGTTGAACTTGCTGGTTGAATTACTTAATTGAATTATATAAGAATATATAATAAATGTAATAATAAAAGTATTATGATAAATATATACTTGTGGTATAGTGATTAATGTTAGAAAGATATAAAATTATTAATGTAATATCACCTAATATATTAAGGTTTTGGATTAAAATAGATCTTTACCATTAATGTTGCATTACGTAGGTTAGGTTGTGGGTGTTAACAGTATGAGCTTGGAAAATTTCACACGGCAAAATAATGTATCGATTATGTATAAATTATAATCTGTATATATTTGTTAGTTATGGTTATGATGACTGAAGTTACTGTTTAGACCTCATAATTACTTCTTCATGGATCATGATATTCATTAATTAATTATAATTTTTTCAAAAATATGTTTAGTGATATATTTTTATTTATTTTAAATAATTCATATTTCTATCGTCGATTTATACTCTCAATCAAAAACATATAATTGAAAATATTATATTCAACTGTCAAATTATTATTATTATTATTATTATTGTTATGAGGTGAAAAGTTTTGGGCGACCTTTGGAGGACAGTAGCCTCATTAAACTATGATGAATATGTAAGTATTTTATTTGAAAGTGGTAATTAGTGAAATGATTATAATGTTGATCATCTCAAAATAATTTTTTTTTTTGGTGAAGATCTCAAAATTATTTACTTCTTAAGAATAGTGTTGTAACAGAGTGCATGTCAAACAAATGGCATAACATATGCCGGAACAAAATTTTGACGTGCATAATTACACCAGATTGTTTTATTTACTCTAAAATCAACGGCAAATTGAGAAGACTAATTTTGTTAGGATGGAGAAAAAAAGATTATAGCGAATTATGAAGCGGAGAAAGTTATATTTATTATCATTTTAGACTTATTATTCTTATTATCTGATTAGTTACCGTTATATTAATTTGAAATCAACAATAGAAAAATAGAAGAAAAAAATAACTGTTGTTGATTTTGAATTAATCCTTTGATAAATAGAAGAAAAATGCATGTATCTCCAAGAAACTCTCAAAGAAAACTAAAGCGCTCAAAATGTAAAAACTGATTACAACTAAAAACTGAATTCTCTCTTCAACATGAAAATCTGACTTCCACTAAGTTCTGAGTTCCACTCCTTTTTACAAAACAAAGACTACTTTAAAAAAAAAAATATATCTTCAAATTGATGTTGTCCCTCATATCAAACAAGCATCCAACGACCTTCAAATTTCCATCTCATCTTCTTCTTTCATCTTTTATTGCCATGTGTCCTTTTCTGTGTATAAAAAGAAAAATAATTTGCAAAAAGTTAAAATTTCTTTTCTTTTACCTCTTTTTATCAACTTGGGCTTACTTCTTTAAATTTGGCCCAAAGTTTACCTGCACTTTAATACAATTCAGCCCATAAAACATAAGATAATTACCACTAAATTAAATAGAAATTAAGACTACCACTCGTCAGATTAGGTTTTGGCCTAAATACGTTAAGTTTATATAAAATATTTTGAACTTGGTTTGACCTATTAATTTGGTGTACTCTACATTATAGGTTTGGTCTTGTCTATATTTTTATTTTATTTGAATTAAATTAAATAATACGATATACTGACGTATAGGTCAATATTTGTAAAAGGAAATGTTTTCTAAACAAGTTTTTTTTGAGGTCCAAGCCTATTTTATTTTACTAAATATATTAGCTAGGTCAAACCTAACCTACTTAGACCGAATTATAAACACTTAATAGACCATTTGATCCATTTAAATCCCTACATGGAAGTTATGTGTGAGGAAGAACTTGCAATTTGTGTGTTAACAGTATTGAGCTTGGAAAATTTCACACGGCAAAATAATGTATCGATTATGTATAAATTATAATCTGTATATATTTGTTAGTTGTGGTTATGATGACTGAAGTTACTGTTTAGACCTTATAATTACTTCTTCATGAATCATGATATTTTTAATTAATTATCATTTTTTCAAAAATATGCTTAGCGATATATTTTTATTTATTTTAAATAATTCATATTTCTATCATCGATTCATACTCTCAATCCAAAACATATAATTCAAAATATTATATTCAACTGTAAAATTATTATTATTATTGAGGTAAAAAGTTTTGGGCGACCTTTGGAGGATAGTAGCCTCATTAAACTATGATGAATATGTAAGTATTTTATTTGAAAATGGTAATTAGCGAAATGAATATAATGTTGATCATCTCAAAATAATTTACTTCTTAAGAATAGTATTGTAACCGAGGGCATATCAAACAAATGGCATAGCGTGTGCCGGAACAAAATTTTGACGTGCATAATCACACCAGATGTTTTATGTACTCTAAAATCAACGGCAAATTGAGAGTACTAACTTGGTTAGGATGGAGAAAAAAAGGTTATAGTGAATTGAGAAGCGGAGAAAGTTATATTTATTATTATTTTAGACTTATCACTCTTATTATTTGATTGGTTATTGTTATATCAATTTGAAATCAATAATACTTTGATAAAAAAAATAGCAAATTAGATATCCACAAAGGGTGGTTTTTCTGTTTATGTTTCACTACGTTAAAATATAATAAATATAATTGGTTCTTTTTCACTTCAATTCTTTTTCTATTCGGTATACGGGGTTCTATTATTTTTGTCACTTCAACCTTTGAACCGGAAAAACAAACTCAAAAATTGAGTTTTTTATCTATCTACAAAATTCGATTATATTTAAGTGAAGTCTTAATTGTGAAAACGAAAAAACAGACATTAAGAGAATATTGTTCCTTTGAGTAAGTTCACTCAACTCAACTCGAAATAATTGAAATTCAATGTATTTTTTAAATACTAAGAGTTTCTGGAAGAAAAAAAGTTGCGGGTTTTTTCTACCAATTGGGGCCCTCCCTTCACCACCCCTTTGTTTTATAAAGAACAATGGACTATCAAGCCTCTCAGTTGGGGCGGTTATATTTATTATATTTTAGACGTACCACCCTTACTATCTAATTATTTATCAAAGTCGAAATCAGCAATAGTTTTTTTTTTCTTTCTATTTTTTTATTATTGATTTCAAATTGATATAACAATAACCAATCAAATAATAAGAGTGATAAGTCTAAAATAATAATAAATATAACTTTCTCCGCTTCTCAATTCGCTATAACCTTTTTTTCTCCATCCTAACCAAGTTAGTACTCTCAATTTGCCGTTGATTTTAGAGTACATAAAACATCTGGTGTGATTATGCACGTCAAAATTTTGTTCCGGCACACGCTATGCCATTTGTTTGATATGCCCTCGGTTACAATACTATTCTTAAGAAGTAAATTATTTTGAGATGATCAACATTATATTCATTTCGCTAATTACCATTTTCAAATAAAATACTTACATATTCATCATAGTTTAATGAGGCTACTATCCTCCAAAGGTCGCCCAAAACTTTTTACCTCAATAATAATAATAATTTTACAGTTGAATATAATATTTTCAATTATATGTTTTGGATTGAGAGTATGAATCGATGATAGAAATATGAATTATTTAAAATAAATAAAAATATATCGCTAAGCATATTTTTGAAAAAATGATAATTAATTAAAAATATCATGATTCATGAAGAAGTAATTATAAGGTCTAAACAGTAACTTCAGTCATCATAACCACAACTAACAAATATATACAGATTATAATTTATACATAATCGATACATTATTTTTCCGTGTGAAATTTTCCAAGCTCAATACTGTTAACACACAAATTGCAAGTTCTTCCTCACACATAACTTCCATGTAGGGATTTAAATGGATCAAATGGTCTATTAAGTGTTTATAATTCGGTCTAAGTAGGTTAGGTTTGACCTAGCTAATATATTTAGTAAAATAAAATAGGCTTGGACCTCAAAAAAAACTTGTTTAGAAAACATTTCCTTTTACAAAGATTCGTAGGCTTAAACATGTTAATATGCCTAGGTCATATATTTTGATTTTTAAATATAGACAAGACCAAACCTATAATGTAGAGTACACCAAATTAATAGGTCAAACCAAGTTCAAAATATTTTATATAAACTTAACGTATTTAGGCCAAAACCTAATCTGACGAGTGGTAGTCTTAATTTCTATTTAATTTAGTGGTAATTATCTTATGTTTTATGGGCTGAATTGTATTAAAGTGCAGGTAAACTTTGGGCCAAATTTAAAGAAGTAAGCCCAAGTTGATAAAAAGAGGTAAAAGAAA